CCCCAGCCTCCCCCAGCCTCCCCAAGTTCTTTGAGGAGAAACTGGGGCAGATCCCATCAAAGTCCAATTCCACCGCTTGCTAGGGAGACTCCCCTCCAGAGCCTGTTTCCTGATGAAGAGGAGGAGGAGGAGGGAGGGGGAAGGGAGAGGAGAGCCCTGGGCACTGTGCCAGCCTGCGGGCTCCAGGCTGATTAACCAGACAGCCAGGTGCCGAAGCTGGGACGGGGGTAGGGGTCCCAGGTTCAGTACGAGGACCCTGAGGGCAGAGTCGGCTCCCCAGGGATCCTGGCTCAGCAGTGAGTGCCAGGAGAAGAGGGGCTGCAGAAGCCAGGAACCAGCCTCACGCCTCCGCCTGAGGATTTCCCAGCTGCAGAAGCCCCCAGCCGGCCACCCCTGCAGCAGGAAGTGAGTAACCACCTCAGACCTACTGGCGGCGACAGCTCAGGGCTAAGGACAGAGTTAGGAAGCCAGGTCGACTGGCAGACCGAGGGCTCCTTCCCACCAAACCTGCAGTGAGGGATGATCTGCCAGCTCCAACAGGACCAGGCCCCCATCCACCTCCCAGGGCAGCAGGGAGGCGGGCGGAGGGACAGAAGAAGGCCTGGCCTCCCGTGCCTTGCCTTCGTCTCCCCCTCGAGGCACTCTCCCAGCCCACCGCTGGTGGTCTTTGCACCAGGAACAGCGAGGACTTCGCTCGCTCCTCGAATCTGAGGACCGCGTTGGGGGAAAGCCAAGTTGGACAGAAACTGTGGGGAAAACGCCCATATCAAGAGGTTAAATACAAACTTTCCCAGATGAGTTTGTTTTCTGCAGTGTTCCCACTGTTCTGGTAAGAAGGAAATACATGTGTACATACAAGCTATGAAACATGAGCTGTGTCATTTCGGTGATTTTGCATATGAGTTAAAGGCACTGGTATTTGCGTTGAGCAATATAAAGATGAATGGTAAAATGCATGCTAATGGTTTAAAATTTTAATTTTTCTTTGCTTAGAACAACATTAAATAGCCAGTAGCGTTACCATCGGGCAATGGGCAGCTGGGGAATGAGGGCTGGGCCTGTGCTGAGGATGAAGCCCCCAGCAGGCCTGCGTAGGAGGCCTCTGGGGGCCGGACAGAGGCAGGACGGAGAGGGCTGCACAGCAGCGGGGACGCACTCTGTAGGGTTCACAGGTGAGGGCGTTGGTACCAACCAGTCAGAACTATAGGCTTTGCACGTGTTTTGCTATGAATCAAAGGCAGACTTACCTTCCAGTCCTGCCTTCCAGTTTTCCAGGACTGGTCCATCTGGGGCGTGTAGCAGGTCAGCCCTTTGCCAGGCAGCTGCTGATTAATAGAGGAGAGGGGTTTTCTTTCCAGTCAGGACCACGGAGTTCTGGACAACAGCTCAGCCCACTCCTGGAGATTGATGGAAAATGGCCTTTCTGAGGGTTAGGTCTGAGGTCCTCAGTCTCACGCACAGACATTTGGAGAGAATGTTCCAGAACCCTGGAGTAGAGGGGCTGTCACTCGTAAACAAACGTGTGCATACACGCCTATAGCCTGCTTTTGTGCTGTTCTGTCTTGTTTGGTCTTTTCTTCACCCCAAGGAGGCTGCATTTGGGGGCTTTTTCCCGTAGACGGGGTTGTGTATTCATTCCGCCAGCAGGTGTGCACACGGTGCCTACTATGTGCTGGGCAATAAATAGCAGTGAGTAAGACAGGAGGCCCTGCCTCCTGGAGTTCATGTCCAATGGGGGCTATGGTGGGAGATGGTCAGGCTGCTGAGTGCAGACAAGACACAGACCCTGACCAGACACATCAGGAAGGGCCCCTGAGTGGCCTCCTAAGAGAAGGGCGGGAGTTACCAAGTGAACGCAAAGGAAGGGGGCTCTCGGCAGAGATCACAGCATGTGCAAAGGTCCAGAGTCAAGTGCCATCCTGCTGAATTCGGGAGCCTTGGGTGGTTCCACACGGCTGAAGGGTAGGGGCTGTACGTGAGGCTGGAGAGGACAGAGGGCAGGAGGGTAGGTTCTTACCACACCACAGAAAGAAGCCCTGGCTTAGTGGGAGGCCATCAGGGTTATGCAGGAATAACTTGATCCCCCTGAATGCAGCTGAGCTGCCTGAGGCAGGGAGTCCTGGCAGGGCTGAATGGTGAGGGATAATAAGTCAGTGGCTAAAGAGATTCTGCAGGAAGGGCTTAGCCAAATTTTCTGATAGCAAAAACGAAATACAAAAGACATGCCAATCCAGATAGTAATTAGTGTGGGTTGTTACTGAGTCCATAAAGAGCTCCTTTTGAAATGTTTCCCCACCCGGGCTCTGCCCCTAGGCAGGGGACTGGCCTCAGTATTAGGCTCCTCCCAGGCAAGAGTGTGTCTGATTCATTCACTTCTGCCTATCAATGCACAGCCAGCTATGTGGATGTCTGATAAATGAGTGGATGGGTAGGTGGATGGGTGGGTGGGTAGATGGATGGATGCATGGATGGATGGATGCATGATGGATGGCTGGATGAATGGATGAGTGGATGGACAGATGGACGAATGGATGGATGGGTGGATGAATGAGTGGGCGAGCCAATGCGCGAGTGGGTAGATGGGTGAGTGGGTGGGTGGGTGGATAGATGAATGAATGGGTAGATAAAAGTGTATGTGAATGGAAGAGAAGGTAATTGTTTTATAAGATTTCAAGATCCTTTTGATGGCACAATACAATGACACTTGGATGGATGAAAAGCAGAACTTTCCATTACTTTAGTTCCAAAGGAGAGAAGGGTTCCAGGCAGGGCCGCACAGGGGCTGCACCCAGGGAGAGGTGAACAGTAAGCTGGGGTTGTAGGGAGCAGCTTATGTATGGGAAGCTGGTTTCTCAGACTCCCTGTGGATTGGCTAATTTGAATAATTTTTCAAGTTCCAAGGTCTAGGGCCTGTCTACAGTGGTTGGGTACCTGGCCCTAAGGTGGTTAGGGCAGTTAAAGATCAGGGCCCAGAGTGTGAAAGCTTGATAAGAGAAGAGACTGGAGTGTGAACGTAGCTGCTCAAGAACTGACTGGCCTCCAGCCAGGACTTCAAAAGTGAGTTAAGATAGCTTTTTTAAAAAAAAAACTATATTACAGTGGTGGATGGAGAAGTGTATAGATGGATGGATGCCTTTTGAAGCTCTGTCAGTCAACAGTATTTACAGAAGCATCAACATTAGATTCAGATCTTTGAGGATTCTCATCTCATGGACGTGGAACCCTAGAACGTCTGAGCTGGAAGGGACTTCACAAGGTCTCTGTCTGTTCTGATGGGTCTCAATATGCTTTGGATCATAGAAGACCCCTTCAATAATCTGATGAAAGCTGTAGACCCTCTCCCCTGGAAAAAGCACATACACACAGTTCTGTATACCATTTAGAGGGCTCACGGACTCCGGGTAGCCTGTCCCCACTTGGGAAGTCAGAACCCTCCGGTGAAGGAGCCTTAGTGTGGTAGAACAGGCCAGTGTACAGAGGAGTCAGCTGAAACACCCAGGTCAAGGAAGGGACTTGACTCAAGTTCATGCAACCAGTTCACAGCCAAGTCAGGCCCAGATCTTGGGCCTCCCCATAAACCAGTCTGGGACTCAGTTCCCCCATCTCTATGATGACGGAATTGGACTCTATCACTGGTTTGTACACTTGGTTCAGAGAAGTTACAGGGAAAGGGGAGACAGCGGGTGGGGTTCTGACCTTCCTGTCTTCCCCAATCCACCGGGCCCACTTTATCCATTCTCTTTCGAACGAAAGGTTTTAAGCATTTTTAAAAAAATGTTTGACAGCCTCTGCACTTTCCAACTTCAAAGCTTCGGGAGTGTTAAGTGCTGTGGATTGTCAGCAAGTCCCCAGAGCAAAGCGAAGAAAGCCAATCAGAGTTGAAGGGGGAAACCATAGCCAAACAAATATCCCAAAGAAACGGCTGTGTCTCGGGGGGCACAAACACTTAACTGTCGCCAGAAAACAGGACAGGGAAAGGTGCCCATTCCCTAAAGATATTTCTGAGTTTCTGCCATCATCATCCCATGGGAGGCATACATGGTGTGAAAAAAAACATCAGAATTCCCCCTGCCCAGCTGGCCTCCTTCTGTTTACATCTTCTGTGTAAACACCCACCCTTTACACCTAAACTCAGACATAAAACAACCACAGAGGGAAAATAAAGATGGTCAGTAAATGTTATATTGGACAAATTTATTCACATATGGAATGTGCCAGCTACCTACCTCATTGCCAGAAGGAAGAAAACTAGTATTCAGGGGTCACCTGCTTTGCATCCACTATTCACATCCATTATGTCATTTAATTGAGAAAGGGGATAGTATAGTGGCTAAGAACACGGCCCTTGGAGCCAGACTGTCTGGGTTCCTGTGAGGATTAGCCAAGTTAATGCATTTATGTGCTTAGGAAAGTGCCTGACAGAGTAAAAGTTACATCCGTGTCAGGCACTATTGTCAATCGTCACCACACCCCCTCTGAGATTTATCACAATCAGCTCCTTTTCACGGCTCAGAGAGGTTGAGCAATTTGCCAAGCCATTAGCCAGGAAAGTGACAGCTCTGGGACTGAAATCCAGGACTGGCTGACTTGCAGCCGAGGACACGACACAACCACCACTCCAAGGCTCTAGTGGGCAGCCGCCGGTCTACACAATAGAACATTCCTTGGGCTAACCTGGAAATCTTCCATATGGAGCGCTGAGCTCTCAAGGCTCAGAGGGCAGGTGGAGCCCTGAGCAACTGCAGCCATCCCTCCTGGCCTCTGCAGCCCTGGGTTCTAGAAACTGCAGCCAGCCTGGCTCAGCGCTGGGCTGGAGCGCAGGGCTAGGTGGAGGTGAGGGAGGAGGTGCCCAGGGGGGCGATGACATCACCGCCCAGCCCTTGAAAGATGAGCTGTTCCCTCTGCCACTCCAGCTCAGCTCTGTCCTGGCGGCTCCTCGGAGGGGTGGGGACAGCAGGCAGCCCCGCTGGACCGGACGGAGGGAAGGACACAGGTCCCTACGCGGCTTGCTCCGGACAAGGTGGGTGCCGGGCAGGGGCTGGTCCAGCCGCCTCACTTTTGCCGGGAGGACAGGCGGTCCCAGTGCCGAGGGAGGGCGGGCAGATGGGTGTCACAGGGGCTGATTCCCAGGCTGGAGAAGTTTCCCTCAGGTCCTGGGGAGTTGGGGAAAGTTCTCTTCCTTCCTCCATCCTGACAAGTGACCAGAAAGGCTTCCAACAGGAGGAGTTGTCCTGTTAGTTTGTTGTAGGTTTGTCTTCTTCCTGAATTGAGGCGACAGATGGGCATGTGTGTATTTGTGCGAGCGATTTAGTGATCTGATTTTTACAGACTCTGGGTAGACGCCCTGGACTAAAGCAGCAAGGAGCGAGCAGGGGTGGGCGTGGGGTTTAGATGCCGGAATCCGGCTTTTCACTCGTGGCTGTGCCACTCATCAGCCCTATGTGACCCTGGACAAGTTACTTAACCTATCTGAGCCTTAGTTTGTCTGCAAAGTCCTCTGCTCGCCTGCTCCCTGTGGTGGCAGGGGTTAAATCAGACCACATATGGGAGGGGGGTTGTAAATGTCCACTCAGGCTTCTTGTCCCTCCTGTCCCAGTCCTGGCTGTCCAGGGCAGAGGGATAAAACGGTGCAGTGATTCAGAGCGTGGGCTTTGCATCCAGCCATGGGTTGCAATCCCAGCTCTGCTCTCATCCCCTGGGTGACATTTTTGAGCAAATTATTTTTTCCCTGTTTCCTGAGCCATAAAGATGACCTGGCAGGGTGGTTGCAAAGATACAAATGGGTTCACGCCTGTGAAGCGCCATGTATGCAGTTGGTGCTCCATAAATAGTAGTCATTATTAGAGCTGCCAAGGGCAGGTAGTTTCACAAGCCTGGTGGGGGGCCGGAGGGGGAGGCCATGGCTTTGCTCTCCGGGACAGGTTAGGATGCGCCTCCCTGAGTCACAGGTTGCCTGTGGCTCCTGCCAGCACGCAGGAAGTGGGAGCTCTGGCCCAGGTGTGGACAATGGAGGCCCCTGGGCCAACCCACCTCTTATTCCTTCTCTGAGCGAGAGAACGGCTTGGGTGGCTGGGGGCAGGGTAAGTGATCCCGGCGGACACTGCCCACCCCCCTTCTCTGGAGGAAAACTGTTCTGCGTCCATCCGGGTCCTGGCAGCAGCGGGGGTGATGGGGACATTCCGAAACCGGGAACCCCACAAGGTTGAAGTAAGAATTTGCTGTTTTTCCCCTGCTTGGGGTGGGAGTCAGGTGGGGGGTGGGGAACAGCCAGGAGAAGGGGTTTTGGAATACATTGAAAACAAGAATGTGCTGGCCCCACAGGCAGGACCCCAGGGTCTCATCCCAGCTCTGCCCTGAATTCACAAAACCCCTGCAACTGTGTGCTCCAAGCCCCTTGTGGTACAGATGAGGAAACTGAGATTCAGAGCAGGGACGGAACCTCAGCAGAGCCATTTGCTCAGCGTCCAGGGAAGTGCCTCAACCTCTGTGGGACTCAGGCCCCATCACTTGTAAATACAGGAGGGTGTGAATGATTGACCGAGCCTGGATGGTGAGACTAAAGACTTGGGATTAGACAAAATTCAGGAGATGCTGGCCTAAGGCACCAAGCAGGGGAAACAGCTGTGCCATGTGGTCTCTACTAATACGGTGACTTCGTCCAGATTAAAATTCAGAGGGGTCCAAGGGTAACAACGCTAAGGGCTGCCCCTCTCACCTAGTGGTCAGGGAGGAGCCCACCTGGGGCAGGGGAGAGTGCCCTGCAGATCCACCAGGGGACTCTAGTTTTCAAAATGAAAGCAGGGGTCTTGTCTGTCCCTTCATGGCTGCCTCCTCTGCCGTGAGAACAGTGCCCAGCATAATGGGGGCACTGGTCAGTGTTTGCTGAATGACTGAATGGTTGGATGGATGGATGGATGGATGGATGGACGAATAGTGGTCACATAGCAGGTACTAAAGGCACACAGAGCATATTACTAAGTGAAAGAAGTCAAGCTGAGAAGGCTGCATACTGTATGATTCCAATTATGTGACATTCAGGAAAAGGCAAAACTATGGAGACAGTAAAATCATCAGTGGTTGCCAGGGGTTGTAGGGGAGGGGAGGTTGAATAGGCAGAGTACAGAGGATTTTTAGGGCAGTGAAACGACTCTATAGGACACTATAATCGTGGATACACATCATTATGCATTTGTGCAAACCCACAGAACATGCAACACCAACAGTGAGCCCCCATGTACACTGTTGACTTGGGTGTCCATAAAGGCTCGTTGACTGTAATAAATAAACCACTCTGATGTGGGATGTTGGTAGTGGAGGAGATTGTGCGTGTGTGAGGGCAAGAGGGATGGGGAAATCTCTGTACTTTCCACTCAATTTTTCTGTGAACCTAAAACTGCGCTATAAAACAAAGTCTATTAAAAAAAAAAAAAAAGCCACACAGAGCAGATCAGAAGGCACGTGAGGGCCGTGAGTCAAATGATCAGAACTTACTAAGACTTGACAGTCTGAGTGCATCACTTCCAACGCCCCCCCTCCCAGTCCAGGAACACCCTGACCCCTGAGCGTCTGTCTCAGTGCACATGCTTCTGGGGAGGGAGAGCTCACTACTTTACAAGGCCAGCTGCTCCATTTGGGGAGAGTACTATTGTTCAAAAGACCCTCCTTAGAAAATATTTGCAAATCATATATGTGACAAGGGGTTAATCTCCATAATATATAAAGAACTCACACAACTGAACAACAAACAACCCAATCAAAACTGGGCAGAGGAAATGAACAGACACTTCTCCAAAGAAGATACACAGATGGCCAATAGGTACATGAAAAGATGCTCAACATCACTAATCATCAGGGAAATGCAAATCAAAACTACAATAAGATATCACCTTTCACCTGTTAGAATGGCTATAATCACCAAGACAAAAAATAACAAATGTTAGAGAGGTTGTGGAGAAACAGGAACCTTCATTCACTGCTGGTGGGAAAGCAAACTGGTGCAGTCTCTATGGAAAACAGTACGGAGATTCCTCAAAAAATGAAAAATAGAAATACCTTATGACCCAGCTATCCCACTCTTGGGTATTTATCCAAAGAACTTGAAATCAACAATCCAAAGAGGCTTATGCACCCTTACATTAACCGCAGCATTATTCACTATAGCCAAGACATGGAAGCAACCCAAGTGTCCGTCGACTGATGAATGGATAAAGAAGATGTGGTATATATCTGCAATGAAATACTACTCAGCATAAAGAAAGACAAAATCATCCCATTTGCAACAACATGGATTGGCCTGGAGGGTATTATGTTAAGTGAAATAAGCCAGACAGAGAAAGACGTATGACTTCACTCATATGTGGAAGATAAACTAACACATAGACAGAGAGAACAGTTTGGTGGTTACCAGGGTGAAGGGAGTTGGGGGGGTGGGCACAAGGGGTGAAATGGTGCTTTTATATGGTGACCGACAAACAGTAATGTACAACTGGAATCTCACAGTGTTATAAACTATTACGACATAAAAAAAAAAAAAAGTCCCTCCTTAGACTGAAGCTAAAGCCCCCTCCCCCTGAGCAACGGTCCACTTTATATTTCTTGGGGTTGGACTGTATAATTCTAGTCCTTATTGATCCTCTCTGAGCTAAACGTCCACAGCCCCTTAATCAAAACACGCTTTCCAGAACAAACCCAAGAAGTCAGGTATTTCTTTGACCCTGTCATCCAAGTGGGATCTGTAGGGTTCCAGAGGCTAGAAAAATGTGAACCCCGCCCTCCCCCAAAATCATCACAGTACAAAGCAGGGTGGAACAAACACAAGCTCTGCGTTCAAATCCCGACTCTTTACTGGCTAGGGAAGCTCTCTGAGCCTCAGTTTTCTCGACTGTACAATGGGGATAATTATTCCTGTGTCTGAGGACCATGGTGAGGTTTAACTTAGATGGTGTTGGCGCAGTGCAAGCACATGCCAGGTTCACCGCAGGTGCCCACCTAGTGGAGAGACAGCCTACAGGGACAGCAGTAAGGGCCTGGGACTATCAGAGGTGTTGTCTTTGCCCTGCAGTGGGGTTACCGCGGCTTGGGGATTCCCAGGGAAAAGGACACCCACACGTGACCTGGGAACATGAGCATGGTGGGCGGCGACAGCAGGAGCCCTGTCCTACTTCCCCTCGGGGCTCAGACTTCGGGTTCCCCCACCCCCACCCCCAACTCCTCTGGGCCTCCCTGATCTCTGCGGCCAGTGGAGCCCCACGAGGTGGGACGCAGAGAACTGGCTTCCAGACCCGGATCCAATCTCACTAGCTGGCTGAGCAACTGCAGGCAAGTCACTTCGCTTCTCTGAGCCTCACGGGTCCGCATCTGAAAATCAGCAGTGCCGCGCCGGATGTCTCGTGAGGTGGTGTAGACTGTAGAGTGCCGGGCACCAGCGCAGCCCCGTGGTTTCTGTGGTTGCTATTGTGTTGATTTGTACCCATGACGCCACGTCTCCTCCTGTTTCCTGCGGGTTCCCCGAGCAGCCTGAGCAGTGCCGATGTGGCGGGGGTGGGGGGGAAGACCAGCCATTTACAGACTGTTGTGCATGAGAGTCTCCTGGGGGTGGGTCCCCCACACAGAGGCCAGGCCTCCCCTGGGACTCTGACTGGGACGACTGGGTGCCTGAGGACTTGCCAGCATCTCCAGGATTTAGAAGCAAGTGGGCCTCCGTCCACACTTTGAGACAAACTGCCTTAGCAAAGGGCTTTCTGAGGGGGGCAAACTTGTCCCTGTCCTGAACCCCAAAGCCACCCTCCCCAGACCTCTCCTCTCAGCCCCCAAATCCTGGCTCCCAGGGCTCCATCACTGCCCACTCCCACCTCGTCTCAGGAACGGACAGAGGCGCCCTCCCTGAGAACTAGGGGCTGCAGACAGCCCCCAGCCCAGCTCTCCTGGAGGTGGGTTTGGGCCTGAAAGTTCTGGGAAGCATCATGCCGTGTGCCCCCACCCATCACCCTACTGGATCCCCTCTGGGAAAAGACTGAACCC